GTCGATCCGAGCGCATGGGCTTCGAGCGTCCTTAAGATTGCACAGAGAATAGTCATGCAGTGGGTGCAGTGCTGTGACACAGCAGGAAAATCGTGTCGAGGAAATAACCGCCTCTTTACGACCCCCCCCCCCCAAAACATGACCCTGATAACGACCCGCCTTAATGTCCTCTGCACATCCGGTGCAAATGCTAGTTTCAGATGTGCGAGAGGGACGCAGCGCCGCTGCCATGCAAATGCGGCTTGATCCAAATGGATTCTAGATCCTATATTCAATTCTGCTCAGATTAGGTTCTCCTTCTTCCCTTTGAAGGAATTTAGCCTTTGCCACACTGGCCACATTGGCCGGAAAGTGGGACATTGAAGGATGTACTGCCCCTACACAGTTGAAGTCTCGCGCTCCAGTATAGCGGCGCTAACTACCCGCGATCGCGTCGCGCGCTGTGCCTAGAGCGCGCTAGTTGGAAAAATCGTCAAATGTACCCCCTATTTAAAGGACTATAACTTTCTTCATTGATAACCATTTCAGAAAGTGAAGGCAGCTTTTGAATGCACAAGACTTCTAGTTTCTAAAATTGTGCTGAGCGTTTTTCTAAGCACACCTATTCTCGAGAGTGGGAGACGTCGAGAAATTGTCGAGGAAATTGAAATTCACATGCGAGTTCCCACTCTTTGAAAGGCAGTAGCTGTCTTCATTGGCAATGCTTTGAAAATCCGACGAAAGCGTTGTAAAGTAGAAGATTCACGCTTTCTAACAGGTGCTCCATTTGTTTCGAACGCTTTCTAGTTCGCGAGAAATCTGCGTCGAGGAAATGTCAAGGAAATTTTCGAAGCCACTCGAAAACTCTATTACTCCCTCGCCGTAGTAGGGAACTTCTTTGAACACCTTCAAAATGCTTCTGTACACGTCAGTTCGATGGAGTAAATTGAAAATGATGCACTTGGCGCAGATCCATTCCGTTCTTGTATGCGCCATGCAGTGACCCCACTCGGAGTCATTGGGAAGGTGTTTTGTCCTAGTGACGACTTGCTTAATCACACCAAAAGATATTTCCAGTATCTAATTAGGACAACTTTGGCATAGTAAGTAATGCCACGTTCCTTATATTCAATCGCTTCCCTTCCAATACGTTCATATGATGAACAAACCAAAAAAAACAGCTATAAGAAACGTTGCATTATCTGATGATGCCAAGAAGGCTGCGAATCTGCCTGTTTTGAACTTTCTACCAAGATGCTGTTCCTCCACTAAGTTCTCGAAGCATGTGCATCATTCTAGAGTAGATACTCGCTGCCCTTTCCCTACGATTCTTTTGCAGGACGCGTTGCCTTCCTATGCCATACTGATCACTACGAACCAAACCAACAACCACTTTCCATTTAATTTTAATTTCCAGACAGTTGTAAGATATTATTTGCATTAGGCTAACTACAACACTTGTGAAACTAATGATGACAGCAAATAAGTGGCAGCAGCACCGTTGTGTCCGTTGATGAACCTTTTGATTACGACCCCCTCCCAACTCTCATCGGAGCAAATACGACCCCCTGTCGAGGATTTCCTCGACCGTTATTCACCCTGCTGTGGACATCATCATGAACGGTGCGTTTGCTAAAATGGAAAAAGACTAAATCGGCGGCTTACATACTTCCTCCAGGATTGTCGACAAGCCCAGGAGACTTTGCGAAACGTGCAGAGAATTTCTGATAAAGTACGTTGTTTTGATGGATCGGAATGTCTTATACGAGAATTTTACGATGAGAAGGTGATGACGGATGAGCATTAGAAGGTGGTAGCGGATTTGGAACACACGCCCGAGCCAATAGTAGTTATACGATAGAAGGTTCTCGTTAAAGCAACAGTCCCAGCAGGGTGGGCGTGGTTGGAAACGGCTGCACTCAAACGACTGCAATCCCTCGGCCGATTCCGACCACGCCCACTTCAGCTCCCTCCCTAGCGGCTTTCCAAGGTGAGTTTTTGTTCAGTCACACTTCTTACGTTCTTGACTAGGGGCTGAACAGCTCCGAAGTGGGAATCGGCCGAGGGGATTGCAGCCGTTTCCGACCACGCCCACCCTGCTGGGACTGTTGCTTTAATTGTGATTTGGAAGTTCACTGCTGCGATTTGCCACCGGGGAGCAATTCTGTCGTCACTGAAATGTACTGTTCACAACTGCGAAGGTTGCTGCGGAAGTCGCGGAACTTTACCTCAGCTGGTTCGTCTTTTTCTCTCAATGTGAGCATACCCAACGTGTAGCAAGAGCCATTCCCCATTGATGGAGCTTAGCTTAACGGTGCCAGATCTCACTTCAACAGACTACTACCCACTTTGTTCCCTTTTCTTGGGAATGTAGGAATTACGATGACGGCTAACACACGGAAAAGGACCTCCACCACGTCTTCACTAAGTATGGATATTGCGCATTCGAGTTCGTTCCTAAAGCGCAGCTCGGTTACCCTCAAGATCTTGACTTGACACTTCGACATCCGAGTTCCCTCTATGGGGACCTCCAGCGCAGGGTCAACCCTACGTTGCTACAAGTAGCAACGGGGGGGGGGTCGTAGTTTGTTGAAGTTTGTGGTGTCGTACTTGTTTCGGTAGCGTGAAATTACATGTGATGAGGTGGGAGAAAATTTGCCGTTTCAGCGTGCGTATATACACCCCTCCCGACAGGACCGGCCCTGCTCTCCAGTATCAGTACTTCCCCCATATTCCTCGCGATAAGATTATCACATTTTACGGCTCCTCGTTAGCTTTCCGATTTCACTGTGCGTCAAAACCCAAAAAGAACAGGGCGAGGAAAGGCATTCTCAGACAAACATTGGTCGTCTTCTGAACTTGCATCGCTCCCAATCTGCAGTGCATAGAAGAGTGGAGCAGTGGTTGGTCGCGCTTGCTGCGCCGTCCCGTAACTCCAGCTTCTCCAGATCTTAGGAAACTGTGAAGAAAGGAGTCGATCACAATACCGTAAGAGCAAGAGAAAGATGGCTTGAGAGTTGTGAGTTTCAAGCACGACCACGTGAAAATTGCCCTTCAAGAACTTGACATGCATCCCTATATGCTCGAGATTCATGGCTAACAGAAGCACAGAAGGCGAAGAGAAGAGAAAAGTGTGAAGAAGCTAGTGGAAAGGAATGCAGAAGCCGATCACCTCCGGACCATGTTTCCAGACGTGAAAATTTCTTATCGTGGGGAAAGCTATACATGTCTAACTTTAGTAACACACTCGACCTCCTGTGGAAGCCGGCGAAACATGAATGGTGGTTCTCTGCAAGCAGCGACCAATCCTGTCATAGTCCGAAATGGGATCTCGACTCACGGTTGCTATCCACCGGTGCCTGTTGATAAAGGCATAAAACTCAATGCCGACATCAGATGGGGATTGTTTCAGAGCAGCATCAGTTACTAAGATTACTAGCCACTAAAGAAGGAATGGTGGATTTCTCAACAGGGCTGCGTTCCTGCACAGAGGACGAGAAATGTTCAGGACCGCTGTCGCGCCACCCTTCTCAACTTCGCAACCTTGAAGGAAAGGCTCGCTAGTCCTTTGAACTCAAAGTTCTGGACAACCCCATCTGGATTATCTTAGAGATGCTAAAAATTGCGCTCTCCACTTCCAGATGGATTTAAGCACATTTTGCTCAATTCAGACCGAATGGTTCCAACTTATTATTAAAGAGCGCATTCCATTCTATAAGAAAATCTTCATGGTGGCCACCTACGTGGACGGCATCAGAAGAATTTGCCCTGGAAACATGGTGCACTGGTCGAGCTCAATGGGGTCTTCGAAGGATCGTGTACCATAACGACCCTTACTGGAAAGCTAGTTTCGAGGGAATTTGCACAGTGGTAGCTGATGCCTCTAGAAGACTATCCAACATTAAATCGATTCACGAAATTGCGTAAGAGCTTCAGGCTGAAGCTCTTACGGTAGACCTCCTTGAGCCTGACGACGGTGACAGATGACGTCATATTCTGAAGACGGTGAGGGCAGTGAAGGAGGGCCTGCGTTCACTTATAGAGGGACACTTAGGGAATACTCTGCTGAGGAACTCCCGTCAACGACAGCAATCTCTGCGAAGAAAAAAGAGCCGAAGTCCGACATAGGCAAAATGTCTTTTTTTTTTGGCCCCCCCCTGTATATTACAGTATAACTGTCGTACGCGCTAGCCTTGTTGGTGGTGCTGTTCGAAAAAAACTTAGGTACTATTTCTGGGAACCGCATTTTTCGTTCCAGGTCAAGTTTGGGATGGGTAAGAGAATGAGTCAGGCTACACGGGGCAAACATGGACCATGGGAAACTCCGCCCACAGTGGGCGGGGCATGCGTCGAATCAGGAGCTGCCGACGGCAGAAGTCTTGAGTTTGGGTATAGGTGCAGTCAAAAGACCGAAAAAAATGGATAAAGGTGTGTACTGAATTGAAAAGTCGAATCTGGGAGACCCGCCCGTTGTGGGCGGAGCGTTCTCTGGGGAGTGTTTTCTCAGTAAGAAAAACTCATAACTCTGGTAGAAAACTATTGAGCCGTAGTAAAACAGGTTTAAGAGGACAATATCTAGGGTCTCCTAAACATACCTGAAACTTAGTGGAAGCCCGCCCACATTAGGCGGAACGTGTCTTTGAGTGAGCAACGTTTAGAGCAAACCTGTCATAAGTCGGTTCAGAGCAGTTCCCAGAAACCGAGAAAAAAGTGGCAGAGGTTGGAAAAGGAAGGAAGATTAAGAGTTAACATGGGAGAGGAAGGTATAAAATATACCAAAGTGCTCGAA